GGCATCTTATTTGGGCAAGTTAACATTAAGAAGTGTGTGATTGTTTATTTAACCGGCCGTGTTTGATTTGATGTCAGAGTTGATGGTAAGGGGGGGGGGGTGGGGGTGGGAAGGGATGAGAAGATAGTGTAATATTCACCCCCACCCCAGCCCCTTCCCTTGCTTTTGACTGTTACTCACCCCCTTAGTACAAATTTCTTTCTCTCTCGAGCCTTCTGCTTCCATTAAAATCAAAGATGGCAGCCTTATTTTGCTAAGAAAATTCTGAGCTCTTGCTTGCCCAAATTTTGCCTGCTCTGCAGGCTATACATGGGGTTTAATAACCAAAAACTCAAGCGACTGACACACGGTCAATAGATGGGTATCCAATCTTGAGTGCTAACTATGACTTTATCAAACACACAATTAGGCTACAGGACCATTGACAGTTGCTGCCTTCATGCAAGAAGTTTTAACTAATCCATTGTCTGTAAGTTGGGTCTCATTTTGGGTTTTGGAATAGAATGTGATTGTTAATTTTGTTGATCTCAGACATTTTGTGAAATGATGGTTTAATTCAAGGCCTCACAAGACAGCAGGACAGCTTATGTACTCAGTTATATCTTATCACTTGAATGGAAAATTTTGGATCAACTGCAGTTTCAAAGTTTTTATTTGGGCTGATGGTGGCCAGAAGTAAACAATTTGAAATAATTGACTTTTATTCCAACATGAAATTGCAGCTTTCATTATTTTACATAACTTGGAGACCATGTTATAGAATCTTACCTGCACAAAATAATAATACCATTAATATTTTTTAGGGTTACTATATGACCAGTGATGTATTTGGTCAAGCTGGAGATTTTACTACTTCACCAGAAATCAGTCAGGTCTTTGGAGAGGTACTTTTTTTGATTGTAGAATACGATTAGAGTGAAATAAATAATTTTTTTTATCTTGTGGCATGATCTTGTGGTCAGGGTTAGCTTTTTTAGTCCCAAAAAGTATGGTTGTTGGCAACAATGATGGCTAATCCATGATAAGAATTTCAGCATTGGTTTTTCAGTCTTTCTTTCTTGCAAATTAACTCATTAATTAATTACGAATTGTTTGTAACAAGCTTGTAGGTGTGTGGTTTGTAAACCAATGGATATTGTCTGGAAAGAATAATGTTAATTTTGTTGAGCTGGGACCTGGCAGAGGCACTCTAGCTTCAGATATATTGAGGGTAAGTGATGTTTAATATTGAATTAAGTTGTTCAAATTTTGATCCTATAGTGAGAGGTTGCTGATGGATAAAGAACTCTGCTGGATACTTTCTGACATAAAATTCAAAAGTACAAGGACCAACTCTGTTTTGGAGAAGTAGTGGTTGCTACTCAGGACCCTAAATTGAGAAGTGCATGTGTGAATTATCTGACTGGTTTTCTTGGGTAAAAGACTAGTTACGATCACAGTTCTTCTCTCAACCCAGGAGCGTAGGTCAATGGGTAAAAGTGAATAGCCAGGGAAACTTAACTAAATTCCCAGGGTTCTCTGTGATGGGTTGGATACCTATCCAAAAGAAGTTGAAAACTCTGAAAAATGGCATGTTACAGAACAGGGATGATTTACCAGCAGCTAGAGGTCATTTGGTCATTCTGAATTTTTGTTGATGCTGCCTGTTGACCAATTTTTTTTTCTATCCCTAACCATGTCTTTTCTTTGTTTTTTTGTTAAAATAAGGTATTTGGCAAGTTTCCAGAACTTCATAGCAAACTTAGTTTGCATCTGGTAGAAGTCAGTCCAGCCTTGAGTGAAATTCAAGAAAAGATTCTTACTGTAAATCACAGATATGACCAGGAAAAACAGAATGTTACAGATAGGGAGGTATGTAGTAAACATATTTTTCTCCCCCATTAATGAGGCGAAGCATTGAATCATAAAAATTTCAGAGGGGACCAGCAGCCTAACTTTTAGTGCACTGCATTCCTAACCAGTACATGTGGACTTAAGCCTCAGCCAGGTCATCTTTTTTTTTCCACTGGGAAAGACATACTACTCTCACAGAGTATAAAGAGATACCAAAATCTTGTAGGGGAGTCTAGACATAAGAAGTGGGCAACCTGTAATGGACAAGCATGCCATTCAGGGAAAACAGTAATGCTCCTAGTTGCCACTTGCTTTTGAAAGAAGGATTTCCATGACTTTGTGAACAATTTGCCTGCTGTGGGAGACGTAGCTTTAATAGTGTTCACTGAAAAAAATAGATTTTGTGTACTGGTATTTGTTTAAGTACTTAATGCTTGCTCCCACTGTTAGTTATAGAAATAACAAATTATTCGTTTCTAGGATGGATCGGACTTGTGTTACAAAAAGTGTGTCACTCGGAGTGGTACCCCAGTGTCATGGTACAGAGGAATTCAAGACATTGCTTCTAATGGAAACTGTATTTTCATTGCTCATGAATTCTTTGATGCCCTTCCAGTCCATCAGTTCCAGGTAAGGCTTCCTATCATTGCTATCAATAGAGAGGCTTACACCACAGAGGGTTCATAGGACTATTTCTGGAATAAACATCCATCTCAAGATTGGATTTCAATGAGTATGTAAAGGCTACATAAAGAGTGTAAGATTTGCGTATGACAAAAGTGAAGCTGAAGAAGTACAAACAGCACTGTAGCCTCCAGAGCTGGAAAACCAGATCACAAATGGGTCTTCTCTTGTATTTAAATGTTAAAGGTGCTATTTTTATCAGTTTTTTAACAATGTAATCATTACAAGCACATTCACAAGATAGATATATAATTTTTCTTTTTCACCAGAAAACAGATCATGGTTGGAGAGAAGTTCTTGTTGATATTTCACCAGAAAAAGAGTATGTACATTATGAAGGGCTCAATTTTTCCATTTGGCATACATTTTAATTTGAGACTTGTTTGCAATGTCTTTCACGAATGATATTTATTGGGAACTGTTACAGGTCCTCAGAGCTGAGGTTTGTCTTAGCCCCTACACCCACCATAGCCTCACAGATTTTAGTGCCTCAAGGCACCTCTGCAAACCAGATTGAGGTGTGCCCTCAGGGTGGTATCATTGTGGAACATATGAGTGAAGCCATAGCTGCACATGGTGGGTGCGCTTTAATTGTGGATTATGGAGAGGATGGCAGCCAAAGGCACACACTGAGGGTGAGTTGGATAGGAGTGGCATGTGACGCTCAACACTAGGACAAGAGAACCTCTTCTATTCTGGAAAACACCTCTATTCAGGAACTGACATAACTGCTCTTTTGTATTTGTTAACGGATATCTCCAGCATGGAGGTGCTTTACCAGTCCTGAAAGTTTTCCAAGAGGGAATTTTCTGCTGATGGTAGAATCATGCTAGTTTTTTTTTTTTTTTTACTTTCTTGTAAAGGCTTGTACCAAGCTGTCAAGGTTCAAGGCATTGTTGGGCTTCTTGTTTTCTTTTTTATTTACTTTTCAATATCTTTTTCTAAACCCACAACATTTTCATGCCACATGTAACTTTATCTGGTGTCAGGTATCAGTGAGAAGGGCCTCACATACCCATTTTCAATTAAAAAAATCAATCAAAATTTTATTTAGACTTGTAGCACCAAAGAGAACGTAAGCACTCGTTGAAATTTGTAAGTCGGTATTGAAAATATTAATAAAATTTTTTTTGTTAGGAAATGGATATTTATTAGTACGTCAATTGTTGTCTTCCCATATTTTACTCTCTATAGTCCTTCAAGAAGCATAGGTTACATGATGTTTTAGAGGATCTTGGAAATGCAGATGTCACTGCCAATGTTGACTTCTCGTACCTTAGAAAGGCTACCCATGGGAAAGGTTGGTAAAAGCTTCCAAACTTTTGATCACATCTAAAAAGTATAGTACATTATTCTTTACCACAGAGGAACTCTTCAACCTTGCATATTGGATGAAGATTCTTCCAGAATAGTCGTCGTGCGTTTCGTTTGCTTCTTTTTATAATAAGAAGATGACGAAGAATTGAAAACAAAGCAGCTAAAAATCATAAAGAGACGTATTGTAACAAGCAGAGGTTTATTAATTTCAATTTACAAAGATTTGAACCCAGAACCCAGGTAAGAATCACAAAAAACTGTCAGCACAAATTCAGAATCTTCAACGTATTTGTCCTAATCAAGAGCATCGTCATCTGGAAAGAGAATAGAAAATGTTATTTAGTTGTGCGAATAATACATGGCGCAGACGTTTACAGCTTGAAGCGTTACGTAATGCTGCGTTACGTTATTTTGTGTTACGTTCTTTTACGCTGCTGCAAAATGCAAATCTAGCACAAGGGAAACTGCACAAAAAAGCTCAATTGATCCCCCAGGAAATCTCTAAGCATGAGACTGTCTCTTAAGGTACTGTGCTAAGGCTTCGGCGTTTAAAGGTATTTACAAAAAGTACGTTTTTCATACACAAAAAAGAACATTTTAATGCAATCACCTGCAAACAGGAAGTGATTCAGAAAAGGCCTGGGACCAATGAAATCTCGCCTTCGGCGCTGTGTTAGTGCCAGGTCCATCACGGTGTTGCACGAAGGGAAGTGGTTCAGAGGACCTGTGACAATGCAAAGACATGAAAAGTTATTAAAACTTGGGAATGTCTGCGCATCGATCACGGCACGCATTCCCATAACGAGATTTTGATTAAAATGAGGTGCTTCTGAAGACTGCCCTAAATGAGTCACGCTTTCCTAGTAATTGAGCTTAAGAAAATATTCACACAACAACAGAGATTAATTCAGACAAGGCTTGGGGCATATCAAATCTTGTACCTGGTAACCTTTTCACTTCCTACTCGAACCCGGACTCTCTCATTTTCTAAGAAAGACTTACATGTTTCCTTGTGTCACACTCATGACAACTGTGTAATTTTCCTCCGTCACTTCTCACCTGTTAGCGTAAATGGAGACAGTGGTGACCTGGGTCCAAGAAAATCCCGTCTTTGTCTCTTAACAAGTAACAGGTTGATCAAACCGTGGACATGGGACACACCCTTGTTAGTCATGCTCAGGGGTTTGAACGGCGTGAAGGTGACGTGGGCACGGTTTGATTCATTTTGAGCACAGATCTGGGGATGAGACACTGTTGCTGACTTTGACTCAGGAATTTGTTCGGCTCGTTCGCTGTTGACTTGACTGACAATTTCAAGGCAGAACTGGCGACTGCTATCGATGTAAGACAGTTCGGGAGCGAGGCAAACACTGCGCCCCATTCTCTCCGCCTTTACGGACCAGCCAGGAGAGTAACGAATTCTGTTTAAAGAGAGAATCAAAAGTTTGCCTGTTGAGTCCCCGAGATCTGTTTCTTACTTCTTGTGTGCAGGTGCCATAGTTTCCTTTGTGAGTTGGTGAAGAGAAATAGATACTACGTCAAGATAATACCCTCTGCGGATAGGTTTTCCATATCTCATCATTTGCTTACTTGCTGGACTACTGATTTCATAAAGAGAAGTTAAATTTCACCTACAGCTTTATGAGGTCTGTCTGTGTCACGCCTTGTCTTATGCACCGGCACCATGCTAAGTTTTATTTTTACAGAAATAGCTATGTCAAGTTAGTAGAGAGGCATCGGATACAATATCGCTTCAGCCACACAATGTAAAAAGGACAAATTTGCTTTAAACTTACTTGCACTGCTTATAAAATGCGAAGCAATACTGGAGGAAAAGATACAAGTACCACAGAACAAATAACCACACGCCGATGTGGAATGCTCGATTTGAGAAGGGAGGTATGATACCTGCAGTAGAACAAACGCAAAGACGATTAATTTATGTTTGGCAACTTCAAGTTGATGATCAGTTTATTCGCTCGAAATGTTAAGCTTCCGTGAAGTTGCAATGAAACAGTTTCTTTGGAGAAGAAACCAATACTTCGGCTCTAATGTGTCCTCGGGAATTCGTCGCAAATATTTAGCGCTCAAGGGACGTTGCAAATGTATCCATGCAAAGCTTAACTTTGATATCACTTTAGTTTTACATCTCCTTAATTCAAGTTACGGGACGTTTTAATGCTTAACATTTGAAATTAAATACTTGCTCGCGCTCGCTTACGTGTCATATTAACCTCATCCCTAGACTCTTTTCTCGTCCCCCAGGCAAGTGAGAGAAAGGAGACTGGAAATAGGGACCTGAATAGCGCGCGCGCGCGCGCTGAGTAACAGTCTCAGATTATGACGTTTTTTTTTTTTTTTCACAACCATACAAGCTTTTTGCTTTTGAGCGAAACTACTTTCAAATACTCATTTTCGAAAAGAAGGTACTGTTGTATTAAATTTGAACAGAACTTTCAGTCAAAGCAAACCCTGAGACAAAGTCTGTGCACAGACGATACGATTACGAAAATATTTCCGTTTTGCGAAAGAAAGCTTAAAAGACGGCTTCATATGTATGCAGTACTCACCTTTTGCCTTGTAGGCTTGCACCGTTGCCGCATGGTTACTCAGCAGCAAACATATTGGATATGAAAACACAAGTACGAAACAAGTGATAACTTTGTACAACATTGTTTCGATTATACCACGGAAACTCTTCGTCTAAAAACCTCTTTATCGCGCAGCTTCAAAAAGAAGGTCTTCTCGCTAAAGTGGCGTCTTTGCGAATGAGATTTTCCCCGCGCTCTAGACGTAACAATAGAGATGAATTCTTTAAGCGCGCGGAGTGATTTGATTGGTTAGCGCTGAATACGCGAGTAAAGAGTTGGGGACTGGGCGTTGTGATTACTTTTATTTCGTTTTTACGACATTCATACGGAGATTGACTCCATCAAGACAACACCGCCTGGTAGACACGTTCCATCTTATTTAGTTGTTCGCTGGCTTATGTTTTGATGTCGTAAGGAGTTCCCATTTCAACCACTTCTTGAGGTTAACGGAGTTACGAAATTGCGAGAAAATTTGGACGGAAAATTTCCAACAGGCCTATATTTACTGTCATCTTAATGTCAAAAGAATAACTTTCACAACTTTTTATTTCCTCATCTGACAGTTCAAACATTTGGACCAGTAACGCAAAGTTCCTTTCTTCAAAAAATGGGAATTGATATGAGAATGAAGGTAAGTGATACTCTTCGCTATTTCGGCCAGATTCCTCCAAACTTTCAGCGCGAAGATGTAACGTAACTCCCTTAAGAAATTGTGGAAAACATGCAATATTTTACAGTCAAACTAAGTGAGGCGTACCCCTCAGGATTACGTTAATGATTTGATTATTTGAATATTGAACCCGTTAATCGTTTCAGGAGCGCAATAACGAATTGAATATTTGAACGTGGAACCCGCTAACCGTTTCAAGAATGCAATAATGGATTGATTATTTGAATATTGAACCCGATAGCCGTATTCGTTTTGAAAAGGCGCGGATCATTGTTCAAATCAGAAGTCTATTTCTGATTGGACTATGCGAACACGTGTTGATGGATCGGAACTATTTCAACATGGCGTCAGACATGGTGGGAAAGGTGAGTTCGAGTGTTGTGTAGAACTTCTTGTAAATGTTGTAAATGGAATGTCATCGAGAGCTTTTTCCGCCTATTTATATCTTGACGAACTTGTAGAAATTCTTGTGTGTATTCATGGTCGAAAAAAATAGTTTACGTGCGAAGCCATCGCAAGACTTTTTTATATTTGCGATCGACTGTTTCCGCAGTGTTTTTACAGTGCAGTTTGTTCATTTTCAGGATTCCTTGTCAGATAGAACAATCTTATTGGACTTCAGAAATGGACTTCTAATTTGAACAATGATCCGCGCCTTTTCAAAACGGATACGGCTATCGGGTTCAATATTCAAATAATCAATCCCATTATTGCATTCGTGAAACGGCTAGCTGGTTCAATAATCAAATAACCAATTCATTATTGCATTCTTGAAACGACTGGCGGGTTCAATATCCAAATGATCAATTCATTAATGTAATCTTGAGGGGTACGCTTCACTTAGTTTGACTGTGAATTTTTATTTAAATTTAACAACTGTAGTTCCTACCTCTTCAGAAGAAAATCAGAGGAAATTTTGGGAAAATCCCGGCGCCATAAAACTGATTTGCTGTCACTGTGGAATAACCGTCTACTATAGTAACGAAAGCTTTACGAATATTACATATTTTGCTGAGTTCATTTTTTTGTTATACAGGTCCTTCTGCAAAATGCCAGCTCCTCACAGGCTGAGCAGCTTCAAAGCGGTTACAAAATGTTGACAAGCCCCTCAGAGATGGGAGAAAAATTCAAGTTCTTCAGCCTTGTTCAACACGGACTTCCTGAACCAGCAGCTTTCAGATGACATCAGCAGCGGTCCCTTAGGTGGAATTCAGTTGACAGTGAGCTAAACACTGTTCTGTGGTATAACGAGCTGTAGATGTCACAGGGAAGCCAAGAAAGTCAGTGGTTTGGTTGATGAGCGTTGGTTCGTGAGAGGAGTATTCATCGAATCTGCTTCTTACGCGGCTGGTCGTCTTCTTATTGTCAGCAGGAGTCTATATGGACACCTAGACTCCGACAATGTTATCACTTAAGTGGAAGGAAAACGAACGATAAAATCATCTTGTTAGAACCAGTGACATATTACGCGCTTCTTTTTCTCCCCTCTCTCTCTCTCCCTCAGAAAAGTAAGAATACGTAGAAATGCGAAGGTGGGGAGCGGGTAGGGCAAAGTTAAGCTAGACATCATCCTTTTTGCTGGTAAGCGATTCCCAAACATCAATCTCACGAAAGAAAATTCGACCACCATAATCCTCTGTTAATACAATTCGTAAACAAGTGACCTCTTTAGGTTCATTAGGAGAAAACTCTACTTTTCCCTTGCGAAATGCTCCAATAGTAGTAAAGTATCCACAAGAATCTTCCTCGTTTGTCAATTCACCATACTCCGTTGATTCAAAACTGGCCTGCAGAATACCAGAATATAGCAGATAGTCAATTGCTCTGTGAGAACCCGTGTCCACAAACACTTTTAGAACAGTGGTAGGTAACTTGAACTTTATCAAGATGTAATCATCATTTTTGGAACTCTCTGCATAAAAATAACCATCGCCTTTATCATAGGCATCTTGTGGTTGGCCTTGGATAGAAGACATGGACGAAGTCACAATGGCAGGGGGGTTACATCCTTTAAACTTTTGATCATACTCGTCGAAAAAGAGCTCTGCAACACTTGCCCCTTGAGGAGCTTTCTCGATCAGTGTTGATGTAACACCAATATGTTCAAACAGCGACGCCAGTGGTTTGTTGTAGAATTCTGCGTCTTCTACAGATTTTATTTTTGTCCAATGATTCATTAACCAGTCTATAGGCATCTCATCATACAGAAGGTAGTAGAATATCGCGGCATTTTCCAAATCGCGAGATTGGTAGAGTTTCGCAACACTTCCCTGTTTGGCCACATCTAACATTACCCAATGTGGGTTCGGTTGGTCGTGGATGAAATGCTCCAGTTTAGGGAGAAAGCTTGGAGAAGATCTAACATCGTCTTCCAGATGGATGTAATATTGGCTGAAATCTTTGCAGTAGCACATTACAAATGCATTATCGACATTCTCCTTAGAACGCCACGTTCGTCTGTTGTCCGAGTCACCATATTTCTCTTTGATATTGTTAAGTTCTGGGTAAAATTCGGGAAATGTTTCAATTACTGTCAATAGTCCTTGTTCAATGTATTCACCGAACTTTCGAGAAAGCTCTTCCCTTACGGTGGATCTTGGTGCTTCATCCAAGTCAGCAAGAAAGATGACAGTGTATATGTTATCCTTGTCTCTCTGACTTGTGTTGTCAAGTAAACGCTGGGTAGTTTGCAGTAAGTACATTTCACCCGTAGGCCTTGCCACTGATGCTATTCCAATCGCAAGGAAACCTTTAAAGCAAAAGTAAATGCAATTGTGTCGTTTGATCTGATCGTCCCGGTGAGAAAGTCCTCAAAATGATTGTTGTCACGAATAGTTAGAGACATTTCAGCAACCGTCAGCGGAAGTCAGTCGAGTGCTGTAAGTTGGGTGAAATTTTCAGGTTCGTAAATACCAATTGGTCATTTTTCCTGTGATGTCATTGGCTGCACGACTACAGCAGCGTAATTCAGCTGTGACCAGTCGATTTTGCCAGTCAGTAAAGTTCTGTCGTTCTGCAAGAGTTCACGTTCGATACATTGATAGTTATGAAATGGTTTAGATTCTTTAATTTGGCTTCCGGATCCTTCAAGATACCGGCCCGTATTACTTTGGAATGAAGCAATGTTTTCCTTTTCCCGATTAAAAAAAACAAAACAAAAAAAGAACAAGAAAAAGGGTGTAGAAAGTGTTACTCGCGAAAGATTTCAAACAGAACTTCGAATTTTCAGTACTGTTTATATCCTATAGCATCTCGTATTTTTCGGAATTTAACAAAACCATTTTCCACTTACGTGATTGTAATGGATAGCTTCCCAACTTTGTTATTTTCGAACTTTTAAGTGCATCTCTGTCGGGACAAATGGAAGGACGCTTCGTTAAAGATTCTAGGAACAACAAAACCTTTCTTAGAGTCGTATATCCTGTGTTAGTTTAAAAAAAAAACAAAACAAAACAAAACAAAAAACAAACAAACAAAAAAAAAAAACTCACGTCACCCCCCGCAACCAATCACATGCTACTCGTCCGCTTTTTGCTGCACTCTTGGCCCCAGTTTCGCGGGTCTCAACTGGGCTCAGTTGTTCAAAGCTAGGCGGATAACACCACCCAAACAAGAGAATAAAACAAAACATACTGAGCTGTTCACCGGAGAGAAATTTATCCTATGCATACCGTTATATACTCTTGAAATAACCGGGGCCTGGTGGCTAAACGAGAAGATATCCCTGGTTCTGATAGGCTGTCGCGATCGCAATAACGTTGGTTACACTGACACTCCAACGCAAAGAGCATTCAATACAACAGCGTAACCTGATTATCGTTACTTTCTGCCTAATTTATAACAAAAATGAAGAGAAAAAAACACCTCAAAACAAAACAAAAACAGTAGAACTTCACTCTCTCTCACTGAGTGATCTCGTACATCATCGTTTACGCTGCACTCCATTCGGAAACCTGCTTTAATTTGTAGTGAATAACGAGACTAACGTACACGCGGTGACGTGCCGACACGATAAGCTAAATTCAGCAGGACGGTTTCAAGACCTTTTCACAGGTAAGTTGGAATGACATTTGTGTAGTAAGCCCCTGTTCAAAGGCCTTCAGCTACAATCTCAGTGCGTTAGGTAGTTCTTATTAACCGAGCGGGAGGTCTGTATGGGAGAAACTTGACCGAGGTGGCCCGTACAGACCGAACGCAGGGAGGTCTGTACCAGCGATCGAAGTCAAGATTCTCCCATACAGACCGACCTAGCTCGGTTAATAAGATATGGCTGTGTCCTATATGCCAATTTTTTATAATCTTTGTACCTTTTTTTTCCTAGACCGGTCTAGTTGGGAAAATCTAGACCGCTTTCATTATTGATTTCGTGAATTCGGTAGTTCCCAGTCCTTATGAGACACAGCCATATAATAACTAAGTTTACTAATCTTGAAAATCGTGGTTTACACATCAGGTTCCCTCTCTGCGGTCGGCCGATTTGATAAGCACTAGTATCATCACACAACTGGACTCCACTCAGTTCTATTACCATTGACAATCCTGATGAAATTAGAACGTCGCTTCAGACTACAAGCTTTAGGTTGAACTTATTGGTAACATCTCCCTCTACACTCTCTGTGGTTTTATTTTTGGGAAGTAAATTGCACCAAGGAAATAAATAGTGAATCTTCGGCCTTCAAGAATGCCATTGAACTTACGAACACAATTTCTTCCTGAAAAGCGATTTAGTGCATTGTTTCTTTGAAAAGAAAAACATATTTAGCAGAAATGCGTGATTCTTTGTTCGAAAAATTTCACTACAATTATCGAGAATATCATGTGAATACGTCAAGTTTTTAAAAGGAATGTATCGGTTAAACACTGTACAGATAGAGCCAAATTAGAATTTTTATCAGTTTGAATATTAAGATATTGATCCACTTCAGTTGCTGCTCTTTATTGAACCATGTTACGGAATACGGCGCCTCCAATAATGAATAACGAAATCTGTTTTAAAACAGAACGCCTCAAAAAAACTTACTTTAAAAGCGTTTTCGTCAACACAAGCAAAAGATCAATACAATTTGTTATTTTTGCTGAAGACTGAATTCGAAATTATTTCGCTTGTTAATCAAACGTCATACCGACATACTAAAATCAGTGGTGTGGCGTCACATTTAGATCTTCTGAAAAGCTTTAAGTTAAGTTTTCATCATCAGTTTTATCATGTGGATTCAAACACGAGTTTGTGCAGTTCTTCACATAACAGTTCCACCGTAACAGATTAGCAGAGTAACATTTAAGATCAATATCTCCAAACCCACAAAAAATATCGTATATTGTTCCACATCGTCTCACAGATTTGTCGATTAAAACGGGAATTGTTCGATTTTCGCCTAAATTAGATTACAAAAAACGTTGTTCTTACTTGGTTCGAGGGAATACGTTTGAGATGGCTCAGTTGTGGGCTTTCCCAGACTGTTTATGTGTTTGATATCACTTGAGGTAGTGAGATATTCGCGTCCATCCTTACACTGAGTTATCCAAAGGAACAGCGTTATTCCCGCCACAGCTGCTACTACGACCACTCTACCGAGAAAATTCCAAGTAATAGAGCGGAAAGTTCTCCGTAGTAACCTTCCAGCAGCCATTAATATGACGTTTTGCACGGAAAAACACCAACTGCCTCTCGCGGCTCGGGGTTTTTGTTAAAGTTTGATAAAATTTAGGAGCAATATTACTTGGAAATATTGAGTTAAGTTTTCGTGAATTTTGTACCTTCGGTAGGTCTAAACTCGCCTGATACAGTACTTTTGTTTACTTCCTTTAGTTAACGTAATACAACTTCATCTAAAATACTCTACATGAGATAACTTCCAAAAGGGTGTAAATTCTTTGCAACGAATTTACTTCGATTTTGGCGATTCGAAAGAAGTAGTGAAAAGTAACACGTCGTGTAAGATCTAAAGCGCTCGCTATTTATTATTTATTTCGTCCTTTACTTTTCCAGACCTCCTCATTAGTGTATTTGTTAAGCTTGTTTGCGTTTTTCTTCGTCGGTTACACATTTTTTTAGCAAGTTTTTCGTACCACACGCTATCTCACAGTCCTCTTGTATTTAAAGCCAGTTTCTTTTACGCCTAATCACTTTTATAACTCAGTTTTCCTTAAGTCGCAGTTCTCTATACTGATGTTACATATTAGGCTTTATCAATGTTATGTAAGTATTTTTCCTGATTTTGTATTCGTTTTTACTTGTACTTTCTGTTTATCTTGGTCAATTTTTGTTTTTTGTTTCCTTGTACCACTGCTGCGGTGTGTTAGCTGTGTAAATAAAATATTTCGAGTTAAAAAAAAAGACAACGCTTTCGCTGTTAGCTGTCGCCCTTATCTAACAATCGTTATTTTGAAATTTGTTTTTTTATTAGAATTCTTTGCAAAACGCTGCTTTGTTTTCCGTCAAGCTCCCTTATGGCCTGTGCAGTAGATCTTTACTACCTCGGATTCACCGAATCCAAGGTACAGTTCGGTGTAAATTACATCATTCCGCATCACCAACGGTCCTAAACACGTGACCGAGGTAAGTAGTATTCGACAAAAGATGTATCAACATAGTGGAAACATGTTCTGCGCAAACCTTTTGCGCTTAGCTTTGGAAAAAGTTCCTAACTGCTACGAGTAACAAAAGGGTCTTCGTTTAACGCTAACATGCAAAGACTTGTACTGGAACAATAGGGCACTTTTTGATAACGGAAGATTTGACCGAAAATGAGAATAATGAGTGTGAAACTTCTTTCTACGTGAAACGCGAAAATCCACTTCTTGCGAGTGTATTATGAAGAAAGGCCTTTCTCTGTTTCATGAAACTTGATAAAGCATCTCCCCCCCCCCTCCTCCCAGACGAGAAGGACCCAAGGTCATTGTGAACACAGTGCAGCGGTGCGGTAGACAGACAACACCAGGATGATAATAGTCAGGCATGCTGAACCTAGAACCACAAAGGTTGGAATCTCTTGCATAGCACTCCTGACACCATGCACTTGAACACCAAACTCTAGAGTCAGATTACAGAAGCTGCAATGACAAAGTATTTCGTTGATAATGGTCAGTGTTCAGCTGGGTCACAGGCAGTCCAGTCTCATGATAAATCGTAGCCCACGCTAAAGGAACAGGAATAGAGACCATTCCTAAGGCCCATTAGGAGGCCCTTAGTATCCCGTAACCTATTAATTAATATCCCTCGTCCCGTTAATTCGTATGGTTTGTATCCCTAAAAATCGCGTCTCCCGCTGATTTTTCCTCAAGAATCCCGTATCCCTATAACTTTCTACCCAAATATCCCGTATTCCGATAACCCCGTATCTCGATAGTACACTCGACGTATATTCAATGTTCAAGTCCTTTACCTAAATTCAGGATCAAGAACTTTCAGGAGGAAGACAAAAGTGCCCACATCATTCCACACAATGTGCGAGGCGGCTCCAGAACTGTTGAGGATCTCGTATTGTTTATCAAGATTAGCCGCAGAAATAGAGCTATCTGAAGACTCTTGAAAACAACTTTGGTAGTTCTGGAGAATAAAAACGAAAACAGATTAAAGTCCTTAATATTGCAGTCTTTCAAAGATTCGGAAATTGACCAATCACATATTGCGATAAACTTGAACGGATGCCATCACACGACCTCATTAAGACATTGTTCGTCGATCATTGTTAGTTGTCTTAGTTGGTTTAGAGAATGCAACATGGAAACAAATGAACATTCAGTGCATGTTTTACGACTCATTGTTCTTCTCTTTTTATTATTTACCTCCCTGGACCACGCTGATTCAATACTTCCACCCTTCATGGCATTAATCATCTTTTCCCAGCTCTGCGCCTCCCTCATGCACCCAGCCTAATTAAAAAAGAAAAAAAAAGCTTTCTCATTGAATACGAGGTTAATCATTTTGCTTCGTAGTCTTAAAAAATTCCATGCCTTCCTTGACTTCTCCTGAACTCTTTAAGTGTGATTTTCTCCATGGCCTTATACTTGAAACAGGAAGTTACTCGCAAAAAGATGAAGTTGAAGCTCACATGTTCACATAGTCGAATAGTTAGTTGCTATTCAACCCAATTTGATATGTCCTTTAACATTTCTTCCATCCATCCAACTGCGAACACTGTAACATTCTTTGCCAGAATCTCTTCAGTATAAGTTCAACGTTTTCTACTTCAGCAGACCAAGACCAACTCAGCACGTTTTTCTCTGCCGTCTTCACTTTCCATCTCAGTTTAGGGCGATTTTTAGCGTAAACTTTTCAAATAACTGTGTTACCAAATGTTTGCATTTCGTAACTGAAGAGCTATCAGTAGATCAATAAATTATAACTTTTGTACCATCCTAAGAAGTTCACCAAGGTTGGAGGAGGAAAACAATAATCAAAATACAAACTAGCTACTGACCTCCTTCATGGTCTTACTATACTTGTAGCCAGTTCGACCATGCTGTTCCCGCAGCACATAGTTTGCGTCCACTTCTTTCACAAACGTTTCTCCATCATATCTGACGAGCAAAAATATTTCAAGAATTTGCGTAATCTTTGAGAAATAAGTCGTATTAAAAATAACATGGAAAGTTTTCGTATCGGAAAACATTGCTCCCGCTTTTGTTTTCATTTGGAAATAAAGGAGGACACACATAAGAGCAATAGTGAAAAAAATCCAATCCAATCCTCTTTATTAGTTTTCCACTAAATGGGTTTTAAAAACTAATTACCATCAATACTAAATCAAAACTCATGAACTTTAAAATGTCTCGATCCTAAAAAAAATAAAATTAAAAAAAAAATCCTACAAAAATCCTAAAAAAAATAAAATCAACCGTAGTAGATTCGTAAATAACAATACTGATACTTGTACTTATCAAGAGGTTAGTTCCGAGTACTGGAATAACATTAAGATTTTAAAACCATTCATGATACACCTGCTTGTTAGGTCTCGGTTCCCTACATTCGATTGAACCAGCCTTGCCGGGCCAGAGACTGACAGCGTGAATACAAAGCGAACGTAAAGGGATGTGACTGAGAATCTCCCCTGATTTTTTCTTTTTTTTTTTTCTCCTCTCGCACTTTAATTCCCCTTTTACCTAACTGTTTACTTACACTGAACACCCCGAACAGGTAATTTACTAGTGATAAAGGCGTTACAAAAAAACAAAACTTACAAGTCAATGATGGGTTTGAATGGTTCATTGCTCTGCACTGATAACGGACAGCCCAGTTTGAGAAGGTCATACGCAACTGTCTGAAAAAACAAACCGTTTTCAGCATATCAAGGCAAAGAATAAAATCAAGTACTTGATCAAAATACGAAGTATGAAGTATGAATCGTGTACCACAAACTGAACGTCATTGGGCGAGTTTAATGAAACAAGAAAGAAACGCACTTGGAAAAACCAGGCGTTTCTATGAGCATACTTGGCAGAGAAATATGAGAGAAAATCCATATAAAAGTAAATTAATCGAGCTCTAATTTCTCTATTTGGGAAGCTAAACGTGGAACTTTAATAAAATTTACCTTGTCTGAAACTTCATCATTTTCAGGGGAAATTTCTCTCTGCTGACCACTGCCGCAAAAAAGCAGAAAATTTTCATTGTCTCATCTGATTTAGGAAACTCAAGGGCCAAAAGCTAAGTGAGGTAAGCAATGTCACCCTCCCTACGTCTAAGTGAATTAAATTTCCTACAGCACTGTTTACCACAAGAAATAGGAAAACTTCGAGCTTTCCATCCTATACATCAAGCCCCATACATGAATTTGAAATGGTCTTCCAGAATTTTAAAAGTTAACAATTGAATTGTCAAGCCCCATAGATGAAGTTGAAATGGTTTTCAAGAAATTTAAAAGTTAACAATTGAATTATCTACTTTGTAAGTTTTGTGTTGGTTATGATTTTTCCAAATATTTTCTTCCATCATGACCCCATCCTAATAACTAATAGTTACAAAGATATCTTTACCTTGAAATAACATAAGAAAAGTTTTTGAAACTGCTACATCTGGTAGGTTTTCTGAAAAATTAAAAATGAACTTACAATAAAAATGTCCTGATCTACTTAGTACCATAAAGTAAAATTTCCCCAAAAGCTACCTAACCTACTTTCTTTTAAAAATGTTGCACACATACCAGAAATTTTGCTTTGTTTTAAGTATGTTTCAGAAATTGTTTTCTTGAGAATAAATCTGTGCATCAGGTGTTACTTAACTCACCCTCTGGAGACTATATGCCGGTTAAAAGGGCAACCAACAGTCACATTTGTCTCCTATGAATATAATGAAACACAATCCCAAATTAATTAGAATACATCTAATTAGTATGCATATTCTTCATACTGTTCTCTTTACATTTCCAAAGGTGTCGACAAGGAGAATTTGCATGTTTAATAATCGAGAGCTACTTTGATTGGTTGGTGATTGTAGTGTTGTCATTCAGACATAAAGGGACTTACTCTTTCATTGCCAAAGGCTAACTAACCTGCAGTGCCGGCATAGTTTGGATGCACGAGTGCACATTTTTGTATTAGTCCGCCATCTTAGATTTGGTAACAGTGGAGGATTGGGGCGAGGAAATATTTGCTGAGGGAGTAGGTGTTAAGTGAAAAAATGGGCAACGTAAGAGAGGGAGGGCAAGGAAAAAATACACCTGCCCGCAAAGCCTGTGATTTCGCAAAACGCCCCCTACATCACATATATGGAAGTATATGAGTTCACGGACTTATAATAATTTTACAGCATGAGGGTATTTCCAGTATAGTAAGATTACTGCGAGTAGTACATTTACTGAATTAAAGTACAAAGTGCTCACCTTACCACCCATACTAGGTTGTTGTCAATAATTAATATAGGTACATGTATAATCAATACATTACGGTGATCATTTCCTTTATTCTACTCCCTTTAATGCTTGAATCAGGTGTGACATTTTGAGAAGAAATTTGATCCTAGTCACTCTTTGGAAACAAAGGATTAAAAACCTTTGCTAGGATCTGGTTGTCCTCCTTTGGGAATTGCACAACTTTTTTTGTTTGTAGTACAAACTCTGGCCTTACAGTGGTACCAGACTGATTTGCAATATGCACTGCCATACTCTACAGGCATATGATGTTAGAGAAGAAGTACTAATGCAAATATTTCCCTGTCAAAGATGATAACTCACAAAAGGAAAAAAAAACAGTGCAGGTAAAGTGCCAAGCCCTTCTGGTCCCTGATGATTATATTTGTCTGTAATTTTTATAAGAAACTACTCAAAACTTATGGTTCACTTGTATCGATACTTACAGTTTTCAGAGTGACACAAGAGTGATCCTCTGAAAAAGCCTCAACACCAAATAAAACAGTGATGCTCTCTTCACTAAAAACAAATAAAAGTCTTTACGTCATTAGTAAGTTACTCTTGAAATCATTAAATTTTGGCATCTAACTACCTTGTGAACTACAAGGTGACACTGAGTCAGTGACACAGGCAAACTTGGAAGAAAAGAATGTGCTTCTCCAAAGAATAGTTTACCTGAGATCTCCTGACAAGAGGTTAGGGTGCTCCACCATTGAGTAACTTGAAAATGTGTGGTAACCAAGTTAATTAATGACTACCTGCATGCTTGCTTCTAAAATTACTACCTAATGTGGTTGTATACTGCATTTCTTCTATGCCTATCTCTTTCTCTGATGGAAACTGTCTGCAAGTAAATCCCAGTGAAATAATTGATAGTGGCTCATAAATCTTAGCCTAACTAATCCTTCCTGTTTAGATACACTTGTAGAAAACAATTAGCAACCTTGTACACATACATGTAAAAAGACAGCAACATGAGTATTAACAGATAAATTCTAAATTAATAATTACATTTCTATTTTCTAAAAGTAATTTACTATACTTACTACATTTCTAGAGATAACTCCTATGCCATGTGTATCTGAGAATGATTCCTGACTTGCTAGACAGAAAGTCAAGCATTCAGTGTTTGAAAGGCTACCCTGTGAAATACAGGAATTGAGTCATTCATCTCTACATTATTGCATTTTATTATCATTTTGTACTGGATTTCCTAACCACCCAACATTTTACTTGTATGTTTGGGTTTAAAATAATTTATTATAATTTATTACATTTAATATAGCGCTTAAACTATTAAAATATTCTAAAGCGCTGTACAATATTAAAAGTGTTCTTAAGAAGAAAGATAAGTCTTCAACTGTACTTTAAAAAAGTCAAAGTTCATATAGTATCTAAGGCTAGATGGCATAAATAATACTAGTAATAAGAATATAAAATTACAAATTAAAAGCTTTCTTAAAAAGATAAGTCTTCAACTGTACTTTAATGGTGCTGCATTTTAAATTGATAAAACGGAACAGCTAATCAGCACATGACAAGATAAGGAGAGGAGGCACTACTGTTATGCTAACAGAGCTAGAGTCCTACTCCTTTGAGGTACCATAATTACATGAACAGCGGTGTCCAAATTCTAATAAATGTAGAGTCCCTTCGAAATGAACACCTTATTCCAGGCTTTAAAAGTCAATTCTCCTTTTCCTCAAATTTGCCCCGATCAGCGAAAAACTCACCAGGTGTGTCGCCGAATTATTGTTCTTGATTCTCCCTATGTCATTCTGTATTGTTCCCTTGATGCATCACAAATTATTATAGTATGAAAAAAGGATGTTCTTTGAAAAGTTTTTTCTCCAAGAATTGTACAGGGTTAATAATTTTCCCTTTTGGGAAATGTCCATGTCAGTGCATTGGTTCTTTACCGTAATAAGTTTCTCTTGTGACTTGAAGATAACCACACAGCAATACCTATTAACCGCATGAAAATGTGCAGTGCCAATATGTACCCTGCCGGCCGGATTATTTGTGTTTTCTGTAAGTACTGTAAAAAGCTTGTTGTTAGCTCACTTACGATAAGTCGATTATCTTCCCAAGGTTCAGGAATAAGCGTGGCCCATACCTGTGATGAAAATAAAAGGGAAGGAAGGTATGATGACAAATACGAAGTTGTGGCATGGCAGCAGTCTGTGCCGTTTTGAAGCGCTTGTTTTGAGGCACTGTTCAACATGAATTGGCACAGCTATTGTAAAAACGCATAGAAGGAAGAAGGGAAAAAACTGACTCGACGTTTCTTACCTCAATTGTTTCTCCTTTGTCTAAGAAGTACGCTGGCTTGAAGTTATGGAACAGAGCCTCGTGCTAAAATAAAATTACCGGCCGCCATTGGTGAGCTAAATTAAAACTACCGTGACTGAAGCATGACTGAAATTTTGATGAAATTTTGAAGCTTTCCATACGAATTCAAGCTAATAATGATTCTTTGAGAATGGTTCACTGACCTTTGGACATTTCGCCAATGTTGGACTGAATGCTACAAGTATTTGCGCAAAACTAAATAAAGTGAGAGCTTTACCCAACGCCGCCATTTTTACAGTGGTAAACGGAGTTTAGGCATGAGGAGAGTTGCGCCTCTTACTCTTCAGGGGCCCCTGCGGGGTGTTTCTCTGAGTCGACGGGAATTCAGACTCCAGGGCGTAGCTTGGGGGGGAGGGTGTACTCGGGTGTCTGTGACCTCCTCCTTAGAAACCTTTTTTTAGGTAAAAAACGGTTTGGGGGTCGACTCGACAATCTGGTGAGTACCCTCTGTTTGACAAAGTGTGACCTCCCTTTGAAAAAGCCTGGCTACACCTAGTGTCAAGCAAGACTCCAAAAGCTTTCCAAAACATTAGACTTTTTATGCTAAAAATGACTACTGACAGTTTATTTTAATCCTTGTTAATATTTCTGCACTTCTAACCAATAGTAAGATCATTTTTGGAAACTACCCTTACTGTCAGTGTTTCTTTATGCAGATTTATTTCTAAGAAGTAATTCAGCTAATTCCTCTGTTGGACAGTTGCTAATTGGTTTGTATTGATTAATTTTAATGCTGCTTCTGCCTGCTTTTTAGCCATCAAATTTTTCAAAATTGTCAGTGGAGTATATGGGTAGTACCACTGCAATGACCAGTGCATTACCAACACTTCTCTAAAACAGGCTCTTTGCTCTTTCCCTAATGATAATCATGCAATCACAGCACTCTCTGCCCCCCCCCAAAAAAAAACATCTTGTATAATGTTATTCTTACAAAATGACATACACAGTAATGTAGAATTGTCACTAAAAGAGGGAAAAAGTAAACTTGTCCTATTTATTTCTGAAGAATTATCTCAAAAAGAAAACATTTTCAAATAAATTTTTGCCATTTTTTGGGATTATTTTAAGGGAATGCCATTAAGTATGACATCTAAGGTTATGGCAAACAACAAAAAAGAAAACTGATTTAACTTATTCTAGTGTTAATTATCATAACAGAAGATTTTCTCGTTTTACAACATACAACATCTGGTGGCTATTTTTAAAATTAAATTATTATCACAGACCCCATCAACTATATCAAAACCTTGATTTCATTTGCACTTCAAAATTATTTCGAGCTAGCATGTTTTTGATAAAATATTTTTGATAAGTGTGAATGATGAATCTACGAGTTCTGTACAAATGGGCCATTTCTGAGATGCAAAAAGCCTCTGTTTTGAAGGTAGGTGCAAAGCTTTTCATCATAAAATGTAATGTGACTTATCATCACCTGCAAGATTTTGCTCTTGATCTAATTCAGGAAGTGAGGAATTTTATAACTCAGAAAAGGCCTATGTATACCACACCCCAGAAAATGCCACACTTAACTGGTCTACCAGTCTATTCTTCTAGGGGGACAGGTATTCCCATGTCACCTAACACTTCTTATATGCACTTCAACAAATGCTGCATATCAGCTGGATACAGTTTTCCAATGTTGCCAATTCTGAAGCAGTCAGCAGTGCTTACTTTGCCTGGGTAGATGACCTGGTCCTTACTGTTTAGCCGATTGTAAAACTCTTCAAAGTTGTAGTTTGGATGCTTGGGGTTGTAGTAAGAAGTAATAATGTACCCTTCATGGGTGTTGTCTAGAAACTTCTTGAAACCCATTTTCCTCATGCCATCTTGAAGGAGGTGGCAATTCTCCATGTATCTAGAAGAAAAAGAGGGTAATATGTACAGAGTTAAGAATTACAAAGGGGTGCATATCTCTATATCAAATGTCTGGCTCATTCTCTTATACTGGTTATGATCACAATATAAATCATTATGAAACATTTTGGCATAATCAGTTAACTAAGATAGTCTTTCAATCTCTCGGTATAGAAATACTTATAAAAATACTTAGTATACCTGTTTGCTCTTCCATCTACTCCACCCTCAGCCTTGAACTCAGACAAAGCCCGTCGGAAAGCAAGCATGGCATGAGTCGCTGGGGTGAACCTAAACTGGCCATTCTGGTTCAGTCCTTCATACTGATCAACAATGTCCAGAGACAAACTACGCGCCCATCCTTTGCATTTCTTCAAGGATTCAATATGGCCGATTACAAAGGAGAAACCTGGAACACCTTCTATACACTTGTTAGCCGAGCTCACCATGAAGTCAATGTTTGCTAGATCTAAATTGAGTGGAACTGCTCCAAAGCTGCTCATGGCATCAACAAAAAACGATGCACCTGGAGCATGCTCTTTGACCAGCTTTCCTACTTCTCCAACTGGATGTATAACCCCTGTGGAGGTTTCACAGTGCACCATGGCAACATTGGTAATGGATTTATCCCTTTTCAGGATTTCTTCAACTTGCTTTACATCGACTTTAGAATCCTCTGCTCCGTGAAGTACAACCTGAACAACAAACAAACAAACACCTAATGAAAACATACAACTGTTTGCTCTTTGACCCTTTGATTCCCAGGATCTCATTGGTGATTCTCCTAACTACTTGCCAAACAATTCTTATGATGTTAGTTCAGAGAAATTGGTATTGAATCAACTGATAATTCCCTAATTCATCTTTATTCTCATCACTTGACTGCTTGATATTGTATAACAATTGTAGGGAGAACTTCTGTCTTGGTCACTCATGGGAGTTAAAAGGTTAATTATTTACACTAAAGGGTAAAGTCTGTAATGAAGCCAAGTGGCCCACCCAGCTAGAGCTTATCCCAAAACCTAAATGAAATGACTTGGAGTATCACTATCTCCCCTGGATGGGATGCCAGTCCATTACAAGGTTACCCCCCCCTGCATTTCATCAGGCATCCCTGACAATTTACCTGTATCTGTTTATACTTCTGGGCTCAGTTATATAAAGGGCAGATATTGTTATACGATGAATAAATCACTATCCAGCAAATAAGTGATAGCAAAATATGCTGTGCTATTTACTGGATAAAGATTTATCCAGTGAATACCATTATCAAACTTTAAAACAACTAGGGCCACGGTGTTAAGAAGCATTATTGTTAGAGTAATATGTTTTGCCCAAGAACACAACACATCCATCCCGCCGAGTTTTGAACCCAGTTATCTGGATCCACATCCCAGTGTACTGACCAATGGGCAACAGTGTCTCTCATAACCCTTTATACTGGTGACACACAAAACTCCCAACTTCCAATTAGAAAGTTGTGCCAAATGCTTTTATCAGCATCTATCCATTTATCTACCCATAACTGAATACTTGAAGGTTTATAGCAAATGAATATGTGCATGTTTTTAACGAAGTAGTCTCTAGTTTCTACATTGGTCATCACAAATGGTTTTGAATGTTAACATATTTATCTTTAACAAAATCAAAATCAAAGATGTGGAAAACCTGTAAACTAGCCCTATGGTTAAGTGTTTCATCCAGGGTTAATAAACTACGTTAACTATCTGTCTATCACAAACTTCCTTTGAGCATCAATGCTAAACCAAACAGTTTATTTCACACATCTCTCTTATTTCAAATCTGAAGTACTAATTGGCACCCAAGGTACATGTAGTCCTGACTAAAATAAAATGTTCAGAATTGAATTGGTACGTGTATTATAACAAAAACAGTATTCCTTATAAAAACCCTCTTCCCTGTTAATTTCAGCATCAGAGATTGACACACTTAAAGAAACTATTAGAAACAAACCGTTTCTATCCCTGCAACTTCACAAATCTTCATCATTCTCTTGCCATAGGAACCACATTCAATGATAAAAACTTTTCCTCCTTCTCTAGGTGTTGTTGTAGTGAGAACTGCCTCCACAGCATATGTTCCACTACCCTGAAGTAATACAGTAGTGTATACTTCAGGAGAAACACCAGCAATTTCCAAGAGCCTTGAACGAATTGTTTTCACAATCCCTATAAACTCTGTGTCACGTGAACCAAGGTCTCGCAGCATGGCCCTCTTTGTTTCAAACCTGACGCCAAGAGGGCCAGGGGTAAATAACTTCTTATCCCTGTGAGTTTCAAAATCTGAAAGAAAGATAGTTGTAAAAGGTTACTAGGGAAGTATGCCTTAGGAATGTTAATAATAGATGCTAGTCTCCCCAGACTATTCCCTTCATGAAGAGATAAATATCAAGCACTATGCTAATTGTACTACCAAGACTTGTCTTCACCCTGTTCAGGCATGTGTTTGTTCAGGCCAATACTGGTAAGGAACTGATCTTTCCCTCCACTCCCCTCACCCTTGGCTTGATGTCTGGCTTAGCAAAGACTAATGATCATAACATAATTTGCTGAAACAGTTAGCCCAATTCACTCCAAACTATATGTGACCCCTGCTAGTCCTCTAACAAGTATGTTATTCATTTAATAATAATAATAATAATAATAATAATAATAATAATAATAATAATAATAATAATAACGAATATTTATGCAGGATAGCCCTTCAGTGCCGGAGCACTGTTATCAAAGTATTATAATGGGGTCCTTTCTGCAATACCATTGCAGCAAGCAGTTATCTTCAATCTCTCTGTGCAAACAGTAACAATGAATCTAGTCTGGGGAACTAGTGTCTTCATTGTGGTTTGAAATCATTTCAAGTTCAAATGAGTTCACTCTGATAAGATTTGTGTTTTTCTTTGTTTAAGGATTTTGGTTATGTAACGAAAACAAAGGAAAATAGATACCAGACTGTAAAATGAAATTTAGGAAAGATTTCCGCAACATACCAATCAAAAACAAAGCCGTAATCCCAAAGGTAATCTGTCGTTTTGCCTCTGCTTTCTTTTATCCAATAATAGTATGCATAATGAAGTATGGGGTTGTACGGAAATCTTGCCTGAAATTTATTTTCAACCCGATGAAATGATAAATTATCGTCTTTGAAAATAAAACTAACAGTAAATACAAAAGAGACACCGTCGTGGAACTCGTATCTTGATGGAATTTAAAAAGGTGTTTTTGAAAACAAGTATCGTTAATGTGGTTTACTTAATTTGGAATCGAATCGTGAGGGGTGATGAGTATTCCGCCACATTTTTAACGAGCACTCACGTTTACTTGCGTGACAGCGCTGCTCGACAGATTTGTAATCTTTGTGATGTGGCAAGTTAACAGTATTTGCACTGTGGTCAGTAGTGCAAACAGATTCTCCCAAACCTCGCATCCATCAGCAGAGATTATTTCTCAAGAACAAAGAGGGCCGTCATAAAAGAAGGCTTTGATTTCCGAAATATGTATATTCAGTACATCTGTCTATGTAATCGGAAAAATACTATATTTTCCAACTTGTACCTGGCTCATCAAGACTCGACTTCTCAGAACACAATCGCCATGAACCACCAAGTACTTGAGGAGATCTTTTGCCAACACGAGCGGCATGCCACAAGGGCCTTGTAATAACACTGCGAAACGCCATCGTTTAACCTTTGTTGGGAATTCAGAGGGTACTACAAACCTCACAAAATCCGAGCACTTGGCACGCGCGGCCGGACTAGTTTCTCATAAAGTCTGTACATAACAGTCATGCGCAAAGCGATGTGCGTGACCTCCCTCACATACACGGGGATGGCCAGAGAGGCGAGAACCAAAACAATTAACACATACAGGGTTAAGTATTTTGGAACTTGCTTCAGCCGATGACATAATGTAGCATGGATTTACAAAAAAATTTGATACAAAAAGGAACAGTCTTCAAGGATTTCAAACGAAATATATAGTTAAGCAAATTGTATGACATCGATCCTTACTTAGGTACAACTACTTCCTGTCACATGGCGTCCTAAACAGTAGGCATCTGCAATGGCCGGAAGTCCGTGGGATTATATAAATTTTAGACCAACTGTGTTCTACTAAAAGTTTCAATGTGAAAGTGGGTGCTCATCAGTAAGAAACCTGTAAGTTTTAATTTTCTCCTTGGGTATGAAAGCCTGTAAGGTAGTGGATAATCCAAGTAATACCAACTATAAAAGTGTATTCTTCTAGGATAGAAATGCACCACAGCCACTAACAGAGAACAGTTCAGTGGCCCCTTCAGAATAAACTGTGCATATGATGGGAGAATTCTTTTGCAATTTTGTTTTTCCTTTGAAAAACCATGCCATTTTTAATGAATAAATCACATCCATGGAGCCTATGAGCATATCTCATGTTTTCATTTTGTTTAATCAATTGAATTTACAGAATAACATTTGCCTCCTTTAACTCTTAGATCAAAAATTGCAAAATTTATTGTGTTTACCTTTGGCAAAATATTTTTATGAATCTAGTTCCTCTTGATGCAAATGTCTCAAGGCCAGTTTAATCAACCTATTCTCCTTTCTAGCTGTTGTTTGTTTTTTTGCCATGCAACTAAATCTCAGGGTAAAATTGTGTTGCATGGTGAAACCAAATGGCTTCCAAGGAGATTTCACAATATCTTCTCTTAATTATCAATACTTCACTCATCTTCTGCATTAATAACTAGTTAAACAGCCTTTAAATTCCCACTACACTTGGGAAGTTTGTAGTTAGTTGAAAATAATTACAGTATAGCTTTACATAGTGAATTTTATTCTATTTTGAGGCTATTATACATACTGAGTTATTAACAGATATCATTTAATACTAAGGTATAATAAAAATAAGATTCTCTATGCTTTTCATTTTGCTAAACAAAACTTTATATAAGTTAGATTGATGGTATGTTGAGTAATCAAGTGTACCCCTGCCATGACAGGTTAACCATTAGACAGGAGGTACCACTCAGGTTGTTTGTGCTTGATGGTACGAAATTTATCACAGTAGGAGCAAATGTGAAGGAGGCAACCTTGCAATGGAACCAAGTCAAAGATATGGGCAAAAAACAATTCATTGGTTTCTTAGAGCTGCAAATAATGCAGTTCCCCATTGCAGATTTTAGAAAATGAACAGGGTCCACACAAAAATTCACAGTTAAGCTAACAGCTGCTGCAACAAAGAAAAAAACATACACCCAGAAATTCAAGCTTTTACCCAAGCAATCACTTTTATATAGTTCGGACATACTGTCTGTATAGCTATGTCATCCAAGTGCTTGGAAATGTAATCAAAATAATTTGACCGGCACTGAGATAACTGGTATTGAACAGATTTTGTTTCCAATACCTACTACCCCCACCATGTTGTGGGGATCATTTTTCTGTGTCATGCACTTTTAGTTAAATTAAGCTGACAATTTGGATTTATAATCTTAGTCTTTAAAAAGACAACTTGTTTGCACAATCTATTTTTGGCAAACACCCCACAAGGAAGAAGAAGTAAAGGTCTGTAAGAATATAGTTGGCACAGAAAAGCATGCAGTTGGCTCTACTGCACATTTACATACTATTATAACACAGATGGCAAATTTAATCTTATAAAATAAAAATGTAAGACTCATTTTTTACACCTTTTTAATTACCTTCAGACATTCCCTTGATATTGAGCCAAATCCTATGATATTTGATTAACTGGGAGAAATAATTATTTTGAAAAAAAAAAAACAAAAAAAAAAAAAAAAAAAAACAGATGCATGAACATCTGCCCTAATGCCAACTTCACCTCCAAATTTCCTACAATTTGTTTGGTTTAATAAAGAATTTCTGTAATTTTTAAGTGAAGGTAAACCTACATCTATAAGTTACAAACAATTTTCACACTGACATCAAACCCATTTCCTCTACTTCATCATTCTTACCCTTTGACAGTATAAAAATCCAAATACCCCTTCTTTCTTTTTCGGAAAATATTCAATTATGGCAGACAGGTTTTTACTGAAAAAAGCTGCCCCTTATAATCTGGAAAATACTGTAATCAAGCCGAGCAATTTCTCCTCAAAAGACTACCCAGCAAAATAGAGAGGGAAAATTAGGAATTGCTAAAATTTCTGTCAGGATTCTAAACCTAAGACTTTGGCTTTTAACCTCTAATTTTCCAATGTTAGAGCATAACATAAAATCACTTCATCCTTCTCCTGGAGACATAGATAACATGCATAAGGCTCTACATTTCCTATAATTTGATTATAAAATAATGTCTTCAAATTCAAATTCGTATGAATATCATATGTTCCATAATTATTTGGTAAATTATTCAGCCTTCAAGGGAAACATAAGAACTGATGAACCCATGAAACTTAAATCTTCAAGATCATTGAAAACAGCCTTGGCAGCAGCACTCAGTGGTGCTCTTTGTTGTTGTGATGTGAGAGGTATGGTGACTCCTCCATGTTGCCACACTCTATTTGTATCTGATGGTTTTTGCAGCTTAGGGCTGTCCAATTTTTGAGGTTCCACTGATGATGAGAAAATATCCAGACCCAACAGGTCTGTCTCGTACAAGCCTTTGGAGTCTGAAATTAAGCACAATGATAATTATGATAATCATAACACCTGTATGGCCATGTAAACCCTTTTTTGAAAAACACTGTCAAAAAAAATCCCTTTGTTATGGATCATATGTAAAGGTGTGAGCAGGGCTGGAAAAATCCTCACATTCCAGTGAACAGGCCTGCTAGAAAAAAATACAAAAATAACTGACAAGAAAGAGCAGTATAGGACTTACGTTATTTCACAATGCATAGTATATGTTCTGTATGAAATAACAACAATACATACCTGACTTTGCATCTGAGGCTTGCGTCATGCTGGGGGCAAAGATATCCAGGTCAAGGGAAGATGATTCACATGTAGAATCTGATACGGTATCCTTGAACTCTGTCATATCATGTCAAGTACCAAATATTAAATTGACATTAACATGCTTTACACCATTACCTACTGTAACTGTGATTAAAACAATTCAACTGAGGAAAAAGCTTAAAGCAGCACAGGAACCTGAGTTATCCTCTTTGCAGTGGAATTCTGTTTTGTGCTCGCTGGAGAAAATCTCTTTCATTTTTGAATTTCTGATTACAATTTTCCTTTTCCTCTCCCACCTTTGCATTCTTTTCTTTATTTTCTACAGAGTTTGGACCCTGGTTTTTTCTTTTTTTTTGCAAATGGATTTTTTACACTTGCACCTAGTCTACAATGCAAAACTTCTACCTGATGTTTTGTTTCACATTTTCACTGTATTCATTTTGTTTTCTACAAATCTCGTAGTACAGATGAAGGTCATTCAATTTTGCATTGATCTCTGTAGTTCCCTATGTCCAATCTTTTATCTCACTCCAAGCTTCCTCCATGGAACCAATTCATGGGAGCAAAGAGAGCAATTCATTGGAATATTGAACCCTTATGATCTAAGTGTATTAGATCATATATCTAATGGATTTTGCACTATAGAAATAACAAAATTATTATAAAATTATTACCCTCCCANTCTTTTGTACTTCTCACAAGCCAGCTTTTATACATTTACTTTAGTTATCTAGAATGTTCTATTACTATTTATAGCGCATTACAAGTTGTACTATTTTGGGAAACTGCTGAGTCACATGAAAGAAGTTTCTGGAATATTACAGATTATAGATAATTCTAGAAAAGTCTGGGATTGCGTGACAGATTCAGTGAAAATAATGCGATCCTCATAACATATGTCAAAATGAAATTTGCAATTAATACAACCCAAAAAGTAACTCCCAAACAAATAACATTTCACATAGTGTTAGAAATTATGTAAGAATGCAAAGTTTCTTAAAGAAGGGGGGCTTTTTGCTTACTGAAGATAAACAAACAACAAAAAACAAATTACCATGAGCAGATTGCTATTAGTAAAGCCACAAGGGAGAGTTTCAAAACTTCACTGACTTAAGTCTCTAGGAATACTAATATCCAAACCTATTTAACAGTATGACAGTATCACACATTTTATTACCTACTTGGAGCCTTTTCTGACAATAAAGACAAAATTTGCACTAAACTTACACTTAGATCTGGGAGACCCATTTCTGGGTGAACTGAATGATGGCCTGCAGTTTTATCCTGTGTAATACTATGGACTGGAAGGTGTGATCCTTTCACAGGTTCCAAGAAACCCTGTGTATGACGTATAATGGTGCACAGAAAAAAAGAGCAAATTAATTAATTCAAAATTAGTTTTAATAGCAATTTTATTAGCTATGTGCAGTATTTGGCTACTTGGAATGACTCCACTTTCTGAGACAAACAGAGAGCCAACTGAGTACAGCAAGGCCTTAGAAGCAAGACCTAGAAGCATCTGTCTGATGTCTGATGCTGCACTATCACAGAGAAAAAAAATCACTTTTGACACATGATAAATACCCTGCAGTACAGCAGTGTAACAAACTAACAAAATGGTAAAAGGAATGTCTGTTAATCTGTTGTGGGGTACAGCTGCATGATCTTCACCCCCACATCATTTGTCACAATCTTTGAAAAAAAAAATGTTCTGGAGCCATCTTACCAGTCCAGATGAAGAATTTGGTAATTTGCCAAGAGGTGCAGGCATTAACACTGATCCAGCCTACAAGACATCATAAGAAATATATCAATCAATTATATAAATTAAAAAAAGACAAAATCATTTAAAACCAATTTGGGTGATGGAAATCATGTAAGGGATTAATCTGATAATTGAGGCGGTAACACAACCAAATGCCACAGAAATTTATTTGTGGCAGCGACAAAAACAGTGCTAATACCGCAAAGTGTTAAGTCATTTGCATTGTACAACTTCAATCATATCTTATTTTGTTAATCCCACTTGATTATTGTTCTTGAGCCTTACCAGTCCACCTCCAAAAGGTGGAAACTGAGATGAGACTGTGGGTTTCAGCATGGAACCACCCTGAGATCACATAGAAAAAAAGGTTAGAAATTGCCTTTATCCAACTCAAGATATTCATCCCACTAATTGCCTTTAATAATCAGTCATGGATATCCACTTTTCTATCTTTGAATTTATCAGGCCTTGGAATGTTTCTTTTAAAACTTACAGGTAAATATCTAAATTTCTATGAGAAAATAGACTGTAGTGCACAATTACATATGCTAAACTCTTACCTGAATTGGAGGAGGTCTGTCTGGTCGTATCCTCAAGGACAAAAATTTTTTGTGTTGGCTGAAGGAATTCAACCAATGAAAGGGTATTCTGCCTTCCTTATCAGTACGCTCTAGTTGGTGCCACAATCCCAATTCACTGCGGAGAAATAGCAGATGTATCAAACTGGCTTAATGGTTGTGAAAAATAGTTTGGTTGACTGTGAAGGCAAACCTGACAAGTTGTTGTGGTGTGCAAAATTAACTTTTTATTAGTACTTTACTCCCTGATTTCATTATTGATTCTCCTTACTGTCTGCTATACATTCTTACGATGCTAGTTTGGAGAATTTGGTATTGGATCAAATAATAATCCCCTAATTGATATTTTTCTTTACTTCACTCACTTGCATGCTTGATAGTGAATTGCTGTTCTAACAAGTAATTTGCTCATGAAAAAAGGCATCAGTTGAGCCCTTCTTTCTTTAATTGCTTTGGCAAACAATTTAATTTGCAGACTTTACTATGGTGATCATTTTAGTTACTGCCAATCAAGTGCATCCCTATCACTCATATTAATTCAGTGCTTTAGCTAAGATTCCCAAATAATAAAACAAAATTAAGCACCCACCTCTGAAAACCTTTCTTGACTTTCATAGACAGAACATCACATTGAAATTGTGAAATATGCCTCACTTCTGAGGAAAAGCACAGTGAAACTGGATCTCCCACTTGCCTTATGATAACACTATCACCAGGAACAAAATAAAGACTTCCTCCTGACTTTTCTTTTGGGACAATATCCTCCCTGGGGGATTCTGTAAGAGTCTTTGAGGCAGAGAATGAGGCAAAACTACTATCATCTTCTTTACTTTCACCATTAAAAACACCAAAAACATCATTTTTGTTGGGTTCGTTAGCATTTTTCTTCATTTTTACATTTAGCTGCCCATCAGAAGTTCTAAAATCTTCAGTATTGTCAGTAGACTTGACAACATTGTTTAAGTTCTTGTCATTCTCTTTTGGTGCATCTATCACTTTGAATTCAAAACTACCAAAGCTTCCAAATTCACTTTCATTCTTTTCTCGTGAATCCTTTTCATTGGAATCAAATGCACCAAAGTCTCCAAAGCTGTTGTAGTTGGAATCATCTTCCTGGGTAACTTTCGTATTTGACTCAAAATTGCTGAAGTCCCCAAAGTCATCATCTCCCTCACACTTTTGGGAGTTTTTGGAGTTACTGCTCTCAAAATTACCAAAATCTCCAAATTCATCTGTGCAGTTGTCATCAGCTTTCTTGGAATCTCCAGCACTCGATCGAAATGAACCAAAATCATCAAAATCATCATCTTGATCTTCGGCTGGTAAACTTTTTCCTTCCAAAGTAGGAGAGCCAAACTCTGAAAAGTGATTGTTACCATCTTTGTCTTTTTTAAGCTCTTCCCCATTTGAATCAAAATGATCAAAGTCACCAAATTTGTCCTTGATTTGAGCTACAGCAGGAAACAATTTCCCTGCAGAATCAGAAAAACCAAATTCCCCAAAGTCATCATCATCATTGGTTTCTTTCTGGGAATCTTTTGTACTTGAATCAGTTACACCAAAATCATTGTTGTCTTCATTGTTGGATGGCAAAGTTCTCCCTTCAGAATTTGAGGAGTGGACATTTCCAAAGTCATCATCAACTTCAGCCACACCATTGTCATTGGGTGAATACTTTTGTTTAGAATCCTCCACAGGAAAATCTGTGTCACCTATAGAGCTCTGATCGTATTTTTCATTAAATGAACCAAAATCGCCAAAGTCATCCTCATCATCAATAACACAATTTTCATCTTGCACTGAGACACCTTTTATAAATGATGAATCTGTGCCTTCTTGACTACCAGCCGGCTTGGAGACTCCAGGTGAATCAAGTTGTGCATTACATTGCTTCTCATCATCATCATCATCATCATCATCATCATCATCATCATCATCATCATCACCTAATGATGGTGGTCTCATAGAAAAACGTGAGAAGTCAGAAAACTCACCAAATCCATCCTCATCTGAATTATTATCTTCGTGTCCTTCTTCTCCACCTGAACCATGTTCAACTTTACTAGAATCACTTATGTTATTCTTGATATTGTTTACCTTATCAGATTTTCTGGATAAACTACTGTCTGCCTTTTCTTCCTCTTCAATGTTTTCTTGTGTCTCAGCTGGTGATAAACTTTTGAACTGAACTGATTCACCATTCTTTATGACAGGATGAAAAACTTTTCCTTCCTGTGTGGATGATGATATTTCTTTTTGAACATGATTAGTTTCCTTATTAAACTTGTTAGAGAATTCTGGAGTCGAGATTTCTAGTAAATGGCTGACTGTTTTTACATCATCAACATCACTGTCTGACATGACACCTCCCGTTTCTTCACTGACTACACTGACTCCATCAGATTTCACTTTGTCTTCCATGCAAGTTTTTCCTTGAAACAGAGAACTCATTTCAATGTCTGTCTGAAGTTCATGACTCTTGCTGTCACTTTCTAAAGAGGTCTGTTCAGACTTCACTGTAGGTAAGTCTGTACTTGCAAATTCTCCAAATTCATCATCAGATTCAATGTCATAAGAACCATTACTTGGCAGTCCTTCATTTCCAGCTTCATTTTTGTCATGATTGTTCAAGACATAAGCCATTGAATCACCTTGATTAAGACCCCCATTGGTAATTTTTTCTTGATTCATACTGCTCTTATCGTCCCCAAATGCTGCAAAATCGGCGAATTCGTCAGCATTGGCTGGTTCACCACTTGCTGTTTTGATGCTGTTTTCATTACTTGCGAACCAGTTTTGTGATTCTCCATTACTTTCCTGTTCAAAAGCGGACCCGAAATCGGCAAAACCAGCAAAGTCACCAAAATCGGAATCCTCTTCGACATGATCTGGCTTTCCTGGCTTGTTCATACCATTTGTAAGGTCACCATCGAACTTTGATTTATCACTGAATTTTTCATTGCGCGAATTCCCGCTGTACTTTTTTGATTTATTTACTTCATTCGGAAAAACGATTTCGTTATCGTCTTCATCGAAAGTGTCATCCAAAGGAGGTGGTGCATCCGCTAGCACTGTGGAGAAATTCGATCCGTACAATTCCGAGTTGTTAACACCGTAATACCAGGCCATTTCTTGTAGTCCCGAAAGAAACGGCTCTCAGTGTCTTGGCATTATCTTTCTTTCTTGTAAAAAAATTCTAAACAAACTACCTCGTGAAAAATTCACATAATTTTTACCAGTGAATCCACAATATTGTTCGCCAATGCAACCTACAGCGCAATCATTGAAAGGAGATGCAACTGTGATAAATTGATGAAGAAACTTGGAAGAAGAGGTGCAAATGTCAGCGTACTACGAGCTGAAATGTTCCCTTCTACTCCCTGTGGTAAATTTGCTTGATCGAGGATTTCTGAAAGTAGTTGTTCTTGTCGTTGAATAGTGTTTAAGCTATGTCACAAATTAATACATCCTCCGACTACTACCGGGTGATCGAGCGCCATTTTGTTGTCCCATGATACCCCGCAACCTCTTTGGGTGTTCAGAATAGGTAGGGGGGAGGGGGAATAGCCTGGGGGGATAGGTGAGGGTGCTCAACCGATCCATGTCAGCAACTTGTTTGGATCAGGGGCGTAGCCAGGATTTTTCAAAGGGGAGGTCACAGAGGCTACTCACCATTGACACCGCTGCTCTCCCGCGTGTATCAGCGGGCTCAGTCGTATTATCGCGGCATGAAGGCCCTCTATTAACTAAATACAAGAGCCGCTGACGAAAATACTTTACAAAAAAAATTGGTTAAAAAGTGGGCTTTTCAACAATGGCTTTTACGGCCAAGATATTGTCATGGCGTTTTCGCCACCTGAATATTGAAGGTGTTTGCTCTAAAGAAGGGGGGGTCACGGGTACCCCAGGACCCCCCCTGGCTACGCCCTTGGCTTAGACGTTTAGTTCACGCAAGCAAACATGCAACAAAACAATGGCACTTGCAATTGGCCTTCTCTCGACAAAAATTACGAATAGGAGACCTTGTTTCCGAATAAGAGTTTAGTTATGTTTGTGCAAATTATAATGAAAGCATTTTAAGAATGAAATGCTTTGGAAGGTGAAATGAAATTGATCAAGAATGGGCGGTGGAGTTGCTGTTCTATGCAGGAATGACTTTAAAATCGAAATGTTTAGTTTTATGGAGACTCATTTCTTGGAAATTGTGTGGTGCAAGATATTACCACCAAATTCTGAGTACTATGTGGCCAGTGTTTATCATCCTCCTGATCCGATTTACGATACATGGGAGTTATTGGACTTCATTTCTAACTCTTGTGACGAAGTTTTGCATAATGACCCCAATGCAAAAATTATTATTGCTGGTGATATTAACCAATTAAACATCGGGGAGTTTATTGAACAACATTCTATGCAACAATTGATAAAAGTTCCTACACGCGGCAACCGAACTCTAGATGTCTTTATTACAAACTACCCGTTCTTTTGGAAACCCGGCTCTTCAGTGAAAGGTCTTGTAAGATCTGACCATTTTGCTATTATTGTGCATCCCTCTACTCCAGCAAAACCCAGTAGGAAAAAGGTCAGCTTTAGAGACACCCGTGAACACTGTAAAATTGCGATGAACTTAAGGCTTGAGGAATACGACTGGAGTGTTTTAAGCTCCCTGGCTGACCTTGATGAGAGTGTTGAACTGTTAAGTCAGAAACTATGGGAAATGTATGATGACTCCTTACCCTTGATAACAGTCAAGTTATCCTCGAGAGACCCACCTTACATGTCACCACTGGTGAAGCACCTTTGTAAGATCCGAAATGAGAATGCAAGAACAGACAGCGATGTTATGAGAGCTACTCGCCAAGAGAAAATCAATGACCTGATTCGGAAAAATCAAATAAATGCTGTTCGTAATGAAAATAGGAAACACCACAGTGGATTTAAAGGATGGTGGGACATGGCTAATAAAATTACTGGTAGGAAAACTCAAGGTACCTTGGTTAGCAAAGTAATTAATCCTGATGATATTAATGCATACTTTCAGTCTATAAGTACCGATGATGCACATGTGGCGCCGGAGCCTCTTGAGATACCAGACGGTACATATGTCCCTGAGGTTTCCTTGCTTTCAGTTTGGAACCTCCTGAGGCACCAGACTCGTACAGCTTCTGGACCTGATGGGATTCCTTATTGGTTCTGGCGTGACTATGCTGATTATTTAACTCCCATAATAACGAAAATTTTCAATAATTCAATTAAACAGCAAAAAGTTCCTTGTTTATGGAAATTGGCCAATGTCACACCTATTCCTAAAGTATCTCCATTAAGTGAATAGACCCATATCACTTACAAATGTAATCATGAGAATTTTTGAAAGAGTCATTTACAAGCAAGAAATATTTCCTACTCTGCATTCATCTGTTGGGCCTATTTAGTTTGCCTACAAGAGGGGACAAAATACTACTTTAGCACTTCTTAAATGTCAACATTTCTGGTGAAAATGGTTGGATAAAGATGCAGACTTTGTTAAGGTGTATTCTTTCGATTTTAGTAAAGCTTTTGATCTTGTTCCTCATCAGATTGTACGTAATAAGCTAAAATAATATGACATTAACCCTTATGTTATTAACTGGATAACTAATTTCTTGATTGACCCTAAACAGAGAGTCGTAGTTGATGGTGTTACAACAAAGTTCACTGCAATAGAGTACCGAAGTGTGACGTCATGTTACCATGGAAGCACTTTTTGCTGGTTCTAGACAAACCAGTGTGGATTCAAGATGGCGGCTATTTCGATAAGTTCAATCACTTCTTTCTTCTCTGATGAACCCTCAAGGATTCAGCGTGGCGAAAATCATTACAAATCGGATCATATTGAGTCTTGCTATTATTCGGACGGAATTATTCGAGGGTCTGTCCAAGCTAGCATGAAGAACAAGTCCTATAAAGTCACAGTGAGTAAAACTTTAGCGAACACGACGCTTAATTCAAATTAATTCTTCAGATTTTTAGATTTGTTATTTATTTGACTCTTTTTTTTAAATAGATCAACCTTCATGGCAGTGAAATATCATCAACGCAGTGTAATTGTCCTCGTGGATAGTATAAATGTAGCCATGCTGCGGCTCTTGCAATTTATTGCATCCATAATATAAGCAGAACNAAGATACTGGTCTATGGCTACAAATGGAAGGAATGTTGGGAGCCTCCCCTGATGGTCTTATTGGAAAGAATGGCCTTCTTGAAATAAAATGCCTGTTTACCCATAAGGATAATACAATAGCAGAAGCTGTTGCCTCTGACAACTTCTATATCACAAAGAATGAGAAAGGAGAATATGAACTAAACAAAGAGCATTCATATTGGCACCAAGTTCAAGGTCAATTACACCTGACTGAAAGAAATCTGTGCTTTTTTTTTGTCTGGACTACAAAGGACACTCTGGTTCTGCACATCAAGAAAGATCCAGAATGGGCTGGCAAACTTTTGAAGTTAAAGGAATTTATGTGAAGCACCTAATCCCTTCAATTGTGAATGAGCTTCTATAATTAATAGTAACCTTTATTTAAAATCTCACAGGTGCTAGTTTAAGCAAGAGATAAACATATATATAGACAGCATTAAATACAATATAGCATTATACTTTTATATTTCATATTGTACATTTATACTCTATTAAAACTTTCCATGATACAAACATAAAAAATACAACATGATTTAAAATCAGTAAATAGTAATGTTTTCATGAGTGTAATAGAAGCCAAAAAAAACTTAAATGAGTCTCCTTTGCATATGGAACATTTATGTTCACTAAAATGTTTTATGAAATTACATATTTTCTTACAAAAAAACTATCATTCCATATCCAGCAGGGGTGTTTGACAGGGGACTGTCCTAGGCCCAGTGTTATTCTCCATAATGGTTAATGACATAAATGCTGTGAATCCAGAAACAAATCTGCTCATTAAGTATGCAGATGACATCACCCTGAGCATTGCGATTGGGCCAAATTTGCCTGATGACTCACCAGAGAGTGAAATTAAAAACATTAAGCTTTGGTCAAGTATGAATCATATGAAGCTAAATTTGACCAAAACATGGGAGTTAGTAATGAGAGGAAAGACCCAAAAAACCCCTCCCGGAACTGTACCTATGACTGAAAGAAAGAATGAACTTAAATTATTGGGAGTAACCTTTCATGAAAATCCATGCAACTGGGAGAGTCATTTTCACAATATGATGGATAAGGGTAATTCAAGACTCTATATCCTTAGGATTTGTAAGTACTATGGGTACACTTTAAAAGAACTTACGATCTTATTTCGTAGCTTGATTATGTCTGTACTTACATACGCAATTGAGGTATGGGCACGTGCTTATGGTTGTAAATACCTCTCTAAGATTGATAAACTCTGTAAGCGAGCATGGAAATATGGTTACACCAAGGATCGCATATCCATCAACAATGTAATTTTAACTAGGGATAAACAATTGTGGGAGAAAGTCACACATGTAATCGCGCATTGTTTSGCAGATCTCCTTCCGAGCAAACCTGGACGTCCTTTACGCCAGCGTGGTCATGATTATACGTTGCCGTGTGTTCGCACAGAGCGTTTTAAGCGCTGTTTTATAAATAGGTCTCTTTAATTTTATTTAGTTCAATGTTTCTAGAGATCCGTTGTAAACTTGCACGTATGTCTGCAAGTGTTTAGTTCGATCAGATCATTCAAGGTTTGATCTATAATAATAAATGCTCATCATCATCACCATCATTTCATTCGTGCCAATTATTATGAAACTGGTTTTGACGAAGTCTGCTTCCTATT